TCGGCGCCTCCCGCCCCGGCAGACGAGGGGGAATAAAGTTGGGGCCGTGGGGCTGGCAGCCCGCGGGGCGAGGGTTCCCCTCTTGTTGTTGTGGAGCTGGTTGGGGGTATCGCGTCGGAAGGGCCGGTGGGGGTATTAGTTCGGCTTTATAGATTTTTTTTTTGTTTTTGTGGCCGTGCTGCCTCGGTGTCTGGGTGTCAGACACAAAGCAACCTGGCAGACAGATGACGAGGGGTAAAAGAAAGAAGTTTTCTTTCTGTGGGCGAGGAAGGGAGTTATCAAGAGCGTTTTGTTAGCCTCAGTTGGCTGGCGGTAGGTGGATGCACAGATTTTGCTGTCTGGCCCCTAAATACCCTGGGTGTTACCGGGCTTTCTCATATCAATTTACGGAATGTTTTCACAATTAAATCTCTAATAATATTTAAAGCCTTTTGAGGGACCGGAATCTTGCATCTTCTTGGTTTTCCCATCTACTTGATTTGCTGTTGAGTCAGATAAGCAGTTGTTTCTCTGTTCCTCACCTTGTAAGGCTGGAGGAGATATTCACAGTGGCACATACCTTGTGCAGAAGGTGAAGGGACAGAAGAGATGAGAAACAAATTTGCAGAGTGCTGTAGCATATAAGCTTGGGGATAGTATCTCAGAATTGTTTTTTCAAAAGAAGGGATAAACGGTAAATGGGAACGCTGTCATGCAGTTAAAAGCGTAAACCTTTGTCTTTACTCATCTGATGCCTTTTACTTTCTGTTTGTAGGAATGGAGGGGGGAAAACTGATTTCTGCAACAGACACACAGTATTCTAGTGTGCTGCTTCAGACTTTGAATGAACAACGCGGCCACGGACTTTTTTGTGATGTTACTGTCATCGTAGAGGACCGGAAGTTTCGAGCTCACAGAAACATCCTTTCGGCCTCAAGCACATATTTTCACCAGCTTTTTTCGGTGGCTGGGCAAGTGGTTGAACTGAGCTTTGTAAGGGCAGAAATTTTTGCAGAAATTCTTAACTATATTTATAGTTCCAAAATAATCAGCGTTCGATCCGATTTACTTGATGAACTGATTAAATCAGGGCAACAGCTGGGGGTTAAATTCATAGCTGATCTGGGCGTGCCTCCACCTGAAGGAAAAACCATGCCAAGCGAGGTCAAAGATGGTGCTTCAGAAACTGCTAGTCCAGGTCAGAAGGACGCAGAAACACAAGTAC